AATTTCAAATAAAATAAAAAAAATACATTTCATTTTTTTATTTGCAAAATTCATGGATTATGCAAGAAAAAAAAAGAGATAAAGACAAAAAGTAGGTTACAACAAAGTTAATGTTAATTCTATAAAAGGGAGCAAAAAATGGTTTAAATTCAAAATTTCAAACTACATGATTAATTAAACATTAATAAGCCACCCTAGCACAGCTAATAAGAACATGGACCTTAAAAGTGGTACCAAAAGCAATTCACCAGCTGGAATTGGAAAAAAAGTTATGAAATCTGAACCTCTTTTGCTACTTCCAAGTAATGAAGATAATTATATAAGTCTAAGAAAATTAAGGTGGGTCCTTCATGAGATTAGGAAATTAGGGGCTGCGATTATATAATCAGAACAATTTGTTAGTTTGAATCTATATTTATTTTATGGTTAACTTAAATTTAATCTCTGACTTTAACTTTAAATTAAGTTAAATTTTTTGTGATAATTTGAAGCATATATTGTAAGATCTCTTCCACCTGTCATTACTCCAACTTGCAAATAGGGTTTTTCAAGACACTGGGGCCAGAGTCTTCCCTTGGAATATTCATTAGGTGGGATCTGTTGTTGGCCTTGCTGTTAAGTTTGAAGGCATTGATGGAAGTTGGTGTTAAAGTGAAAGAAGTCAAGATAGTTGGGGTCAGAGTTAGGGGAAGAAAACAGAGGGAAAGGGTTTCCTGGGAAGCATTCTGTTAGAAAATACTTGAGTGCCACCTTCTTCAAATCATTGGATATTTGATTAATGAGTGAAGGCTACCCTACTTGCTTAAATAAAACTCCCTCTTACTAAGTATAAATTTGCATGTGTGTGAGCTCAAGAATGCGTTGTGGGAAGAAAATTAAGGCTATATTTATTGTGGCTGCAGTTTTAGGTTGTTAAAATTTAAACAACCAAAATTAGTAGTTAAAAACCAAAATAAAATACAAAAAAAAAAAAAAAGAGAGGAGAAAACTAACTTATTAAGTATAAAATTTTAAAAGTAATACCCCAAACTAAAGTCTTAATTAATTTATAACATTTATTAATTTTATAGAATCTCCAAATTTTTGAAAAACCAAACAAAAAATTAAAAACCATAAACAGAACCTTAGAAAAACTTTTGTCATAATCCCCTGTTGCAAAGAACAGCTCACAAATGCAGCCAAAAAAGTATTATGATTTAACTGAACTTTGATATGGTTAAACAATTTAGGCGCCCCATTTAGTATGGTTGTAATTTTGAGTATTCTGTTTCGGCTTTTGAAATTCAAACAATCAAAATAACTTAAGCTTTGTTTAGTAGGATTTTGATTCTAATTTTAATTTTTGGTTTTCATTTGTTAAATTTAATTATTTGAATTTCGAAAACCAAAATTAAAAACCAACAATCACAACCATACCAAACAAAGCCTTAGCTAACCATCAAATGTGTTTAACTACTGAACACTGTAGGTAGGGAGGGAAACTTAAATTATCCAGAGAAAGGTAAAAGATATCCAGAGTATTAAGACAGTAAACTCATCATCAATGTCAAGGCATTGTACAAAGAATGTATCACAATGGAAGAACTCAAGTCACCTGTCCAACAATAAGAGCATCCAAGGACACATCCAATGATGAACAACTGTAAAAAGTTCTCACCAGAAAAGTGAGCTGCACTAAAGATGATGGCACTAATGGCAACAGCTTGCTGCCAATTCATTCTGGAGGCAAGAGATCTCAACAGAAATCCTCTGTAAACTGTTTCCTCTAAGAGGGGAGCAATGATGCAGTAAACAAGGACACAAGCAACTTTTGCTACATCACTACTGAGAAGCATTTCTTTCAGTACAGGGTTGTTTACATCCTGAAATTAGAATTGAAAAACAAACAATCAATTAGAACACAATGTGATAACTTTAGCATTTACACAGCATGCAGCAAGCTAGAAATGCTAATGGATGAAGATTGACCTTTTCTCCTCCTCAACCCAACTCTTTATTTATTTTTTTCCTGTGAGGAACTCAAAAACCCCAATACCCATTTCTAATCATAGTCTGTTTCAAGAGTTTCTTTTAAGTTGCCATTATAAGGGATTTTTGAAGCAATTACTTGACATCTTCTACAAAAAAGGAGCAAAGAAAATTATCTGAGCAGTGTCATCTCATTTTGTGGTAGAAACACAGGTTTTTAATTGACAACTTAATCTTACCAGGTTTACTCAATATACACCAGAAAATAATTGACTTTACTTTCGACCAACAGAAAATTATAGACATTACACTTACATAAACATGTGGAACAATGCTGGGAAAAAAAATGAAACAATAAAAATGCAAGTACTCTTCAAAACATTCTTAAATTTTTACCAGATAAGAGAAAGCATCAAAGCAAGGATGGGACACATTAAATGTGGCTTAATGCCAATGTTTTGTTTTTTTGGGTGCTGATGTTTTTTTATTTTTCTATTATTTACTTATTTTTTTTAAGTTTATGCAATGCAAGATTTCAAGAAGATAAAATCAACAAAGAAACAGATAATTGATTTCCTAAATTCCTCACAGCCAGTCTAATCCATCAGCAGTATTCTGATTTAGCAGAAAACATGCAACAATGTTGCATCCTAGAACTTTCTCAACTTACCAAACATCAGATATGATAAATGGATAATGAAAGCAATGAAGAAAAGAAGTTAAAATTGGGATAAAATGCAATTCCCTTGCTACACTTTAGCAATTAAGACAGTACAATAATGTTTTCTACTGCACAAGTAGGCTCCATTTTTTTAATAGAAGAAACATACATTGTGCAAATATGATGTTGTCTTAGTATCACCAACTCACCAAAATGCCAGATTGAAGAATTTTTTTTTTTTTTTCAAATGAATATTTTTAAATCAGTTTTTTTTCTTTTTGTTTTTTTTTTTTTTACTTTTCATGCTGACTCATTAGGACTTGTTACTTCATTGCTTCGAATGAGCACTTAGTGCAGGGAGATGATTTAGTATTTTCCCATCCATTAAACCAACCTTTGTCCCATAAAACCTGTCAGCAAGGATGGAGGTAAGGAAAACCAAGAAAATAAGAACTGTAAAACCCAATGCTGATGCTAACAGCCAGTTCCTATCTTTTGGCAACTTGCTAGCTTTGTATAAGTTTAAAAGCCCATGCTTTGGCTTGAGGATGCTCCTTAGTAGAAGAAAAGTCCCAGTGAGTTCCAAACTTTCCAGTACAAATAGTGAAAGTGCCTGCAGTAACAGTAACATCAAAAATAAAACACATAAATTCAAGAGTATGAAAATGTCTTTTATTCTTGGCTGTGAGTATTGAAATGCCTATGTAGAACATTTCTAACATAATTGACTTTCAGATCCATTTTCTTGGAATGCCCAAGGCTAGAAAATACAGTTAAACAGGTCTTTTGCTGATTACAAATCAAATGCATCAGATATCACAGTCCTCAGTGAAAACATGTTCTCAATCTCCTTGCCGAAAATCCATGTCTATAATTTTTATGCAAACACATTGGAAGTCAAACTGGTAGCTATATTTCAAGAAACAATTTCATAAGTTCACTTCCAATATATACAGTCTATTCTCAACTGTTGTTACACATAGTGCAGAAAAGTTTCATCATACACAGTCTATCCAGAGAAGGGCAAGTAATAGGTTCACGGAATTAAGTAAAAGAAAAATGGCCAGACTCAAATGAATTGAGTGAGCAGTCCAGTAAAAGGAGTCACATTTTCTTCAGTTTACTTCTTTTTATTTTATTTTATTTTTTGATATAGTTCTTCAGTATAATTGTTTAGCAAAAGTCCAGATCAAAATATGCACTATTAAGAACAGAACAAAGTAAAAAATTACTTACCTGAGTCTGTGGATCAAGAACTGTTTGATGCAATATATATGCAATAATTGACATGCCACCATACCCCAAAGGAATGTGCAAATTGAACATGTAAAATGCTAGAGTACTCCATAAACTCCCTGTCTCCCATGGAACAACGGATGGCAAAGCTGAAAACCACTGTTTGTCCACAATCCACATCATAAAATCAGCAGTTCACATATTCATAAAAAAAAAAAAAAAATGAAGGGCAGAAGCGAAAAAGGTCAAAACCCACAAATCATCTCTAGAATTAAGTTACAAGCCATGTCCTGTATCTGTAAAGATTAACAATTTAGGAGTAAGAAGATACCTTAGTGGGTTTATCTGCAATTTCGTTTTTGCAGTAGTGACACTTGAGAGAAGTGAAGCTAAGCTTGGAGAAGATGAGAGAAGGGTGGTAAGTGGATAAAAGTAATGGTTTTTCAGAAAAGCCGCGAAATTTGCGTTTGGGATTAAGGGTAGGCAAAGATTTGATTAACATTTTCCTTTCCTCTACTCTCAAGATTCTCATCTGCTAAATGATTTTCCATTTTTCAAAAAGGGGAAATTTCGGGTTTACGGGTTTTGAAGAGAAATTTTTGGGTCTTAGGAGAGGAGAATTGCGAACATGCTTAAATTGCCCCTAATGTTTTATTGGAATACAATGAAGTCCTTAAAGTAAATTCCTGTTGCAACGGTGGGAACGAATCCTAGAGTTAGTTTAGGGACTAGAACCTGAGCTGTTTTGTACAGGGGCAGATCCACTAAGGACAACCCTGGGCCTCTTAAAATTAAATAGAAAAAGCCCACGCTCCAAAAGGCCCAGTCCTGGCCCTATGCTACTTTGAATGGCCTAACTAAATCTATCAATAATAAAAAAAAAAAAACAAAAAACAAAAAAACTTAATTGACTTAGAATGTATTTGAGATTACTGTTAGAGTAATTTTTCTTATAACCACACGATGCTTTTAAATGTTTCTATGTTTGTAATTTTTTTTCCAACTATTGTTTTTTGGTTTTTCGCCGAGTATCCGGGACTTCGCCTTGTTTAATCCGGACCCGATCCGCTTCGCGCACTTGAAAATGGTGAGTGAGTCTCCCAACAAGAACTGCTGCGTACACAAAGTCTCAAACTATTGTTTTAAAAAGCTATAAAAGACCTCATATCAACTTTACATATAAAATCAAAAGTTACATTTAAAAAAAATAAATAACAAATACTAAAATAATTTTGAACTGACCATAGTATAACCACAACCATTACGCCTTATAATAATCCCACATAGACACTCAGTGATAATCTATTATTGGTTCCAACATTGGCAAGAGTGTGCAATCTTTTTTTTTTTTTTTCCCCTTGGTACATGGAAAGGTTACTATTGGTGTGAACCATTTTGCTTGCAGTGATAACACAAACAAAAATGCTTGGAGTAAAGCTCACTTTGCTAGATGCCAATATGGTTCACGTTGATTATTTAACAAGTGAAAGGGAGAAGGAAAGAAAGGTACCACACATACAAGTTCCCTTTACACTTAATTATAACCTAAAATACAAGTAGAAGTTTCCTTTACTCGTAATGAAACATTAAAAATTCAAAGTAATATGAAAAATTGCCTCAATATTGAACCTCACAATTGCACTTTATGCATGGCTTCAAAATCAAACTTTCTACCATGGCCCTCTTGCATCAAGTTTGTACACATGGAGAAGTAAGGAATATGCAACAAGGGCCATATATAAATCTAGCCCTTTTGAGTTTTCCACACGTGGTTCTTTCCCTTTCCCTCTAATTTGTGCTTGTAGCTGCTTTTGCCTTGCATAGTTTTGGAAATCAAATTGGATTGGTCGGTAAGACCAATTAAACCAATATCCAATAATATAAATGGTTTGATACACTTTTAAAACCGTTTGAATGGTTAAACTATTTAAAACCATTGAAAATTATTGAAACTGCTCAAATCGATAAACCATTTGACTACATCGTTCAATGCTTGGGCATAAAGTCTTG